GTTGCAAACATATTGACTAACTTTGTTAGCAAGATTCTGTTTAAACTATTGCTCAACAGAAAGAGAAAACACACTAATGTTTATACTAATGTTGGCCAGAACACCCATTGAGAATACAACCATTTCTGTTCACCGGTCTGACACATTTCAGAAAGCAATTATATATGACATTGAGTTTGCATTGCTGGAATTGTCTGCTCACTAAATTGTTACTTGTTGGAAATATGAGCGTCTAAAAACGTTATTTTAAAACCAGCTAAAATACTGTTACCAAAGTACTATGATACTAAAAAGTTATGTTTGCAATTTTAGTGTAGTACTTTTTACTTGTATTTATTTGCTTCCTAACTCCTAAGAGGCCACATAGATACACATATACATGATAACACACTGGATTCACTGATCTGAAGGTCAGAGATGTGTGAGGCTTCATGGGTCAATGTGATCTCTTTATGGCCGAGTCAGGTGCCAACATCCCAAACCCTCAGCCCAGGACTCCCTGGCACCAACAGAGCCAGCAACTGTTTGATTGAATCGCATGTGTTTTGATCTACACCTCAACCAAAGCACAGGATCCAAAAGGTCTTGAGGTACAGGATTTACACACAAACTATTCAGAAACTTCCTAAACTACATTTCTATGAACAGAGTTCTTAAAGAAACCAACATAAACGTCACTAACAAAAAATGTTTGGACATGAGCCATGGTATTTTGTGAGTGGCAAAGTTTTATTTTTATTTCTTTCTTTCAGTCATGATCAGTAAACAAAATACCATATGAAAGAAACTTCCATCAAAGCTAAATATAAACTCAACAAACCCACAGTTCAAATAAGAACTTTATGACTTTCTAAATGAAATGAAAACACGTTAAAAGGAGAATACAATAAGATTTGTGCATTAAACAGAGTGCATTACAAAAGTCAAGACTTATGCAAATTACGAACTCCGTGCATGCTAACACACTGCATAACAGATTGCGTGTGTGTGTGTGTGTGTTATACACACACTGTACTACAGCTCAAACTAATGACAGCATGTCACGCATCAAGGGCTTCCAAACAGATATATTAACAAGAGTTATGGAAGTCAGGACTGATGTTTCAATCTCAAATCTATCACTCTCACAGTGTGTCACAGTAAGAACATCTGTGACGGCCACATTCTGCAAGCTGGCTACGATCTGGGGCTTTTTGTCAAAAACAAATCATGCTTTTTTGTCTGTAAATTTACTTTTGCAATGGCTATTTTCAGCTGGTTATCTAATATACTGCTAATCAGCAGACAACTGCCTAGAAAATAGCAATTTATGCTAAGGTTTCCTAAAACCTAACATTTATTAACAATTTGTGGAAAACGTTAACAAAATCTTTAATCTTATATAGATAGAATAAATAAAGCTGAAAAATGTGTTATTCACAATTTTTTAGCTTTTTCTTCATCTGCATTCCACATATTTTTCATAAAATCATATTGAATTTAACCCTACATAAATAAGCATAATTAGTTGCTAATGAAGTGCCCATTGCTCTCCTATGAATCTGTAATTAGAAAGTCTTGTAGAAAATACTAAATCATTCTTACACCATGTCTACACCAGATAAAAAGATAAAAACAGATCTCACAGATTATAATAAGCAGAGCTGTCTACACTGAAAAAAGTTATCCTGCCACTTTATTGTCCTAGTCCATATGAAATAAATTTAATTTATTTACAAATACAAATATATTTTTGTTTTGTGCATTTAAACAACTTACTGTTAAATCAAAGCCACATTTAGTTTTCTTGTCTACTCATTTAAATGTTTGGTTTATGATCATATGTATATACAGTTGTGTGTAAATTTGACCTTTTTGTGTAAAATATTTCATTCCATAACCTAGTAAATGTTAATTTTAATATTACTGAACTTTAGTTGATAAAATTAAATATAGAATTATTTTCAATGAATTTTTCTTCATTTTACTATGGTTGAAGTGTGGCTTATTGGTCTGTTTTAGTAAACAGTCTCAAAAACTGATGCAACACTGGAGACTTCTACAGTGGACACAGCATTATGGAGTAAAAATGTCATAAAAACAAATATCAAATCAAAGGATTCTGGATTATCAATATTTATTAATCAATCAATGAGCTACAGTGGCACAGATACACTACCATTCAAAAGTTTGGGTTTAAGTTTTTAAAAGAAGTAAATTACACTCACCACTGCTGAATTTATTTGATCAAAAATACAGTCAAAACAGTAATATTGTGTAAAAATTATTACCATTTTAAACAACTGTTTTTTATTGTAATATATTTTAATGTAATTTATTCCCGTGATGGCAAAGCTGAATTTTCAGCAGGCATTACTCCAGTCTATCTTTGTCACATGATCCTTCAGAAATTATGCTAATATGCTGATTTGCCCAATTGGCCCTAAATCAGATAAAATTCAAAATAATAATAATAATAAAAAAAAAATTATATTTCTTTCACTTTTTCTATGCTCTTATTTTCCCTTAATATCTTCCTGTCTTAGCTTTTATTGTTTTGAATGATGACTGAAAACTTGTTTTCCTCAACTGTAAGTTGCTTTGGATAAAAGCATCTACCAAATGAATAAATGTAAATGTAATTTCTTTGGATCAATAGAAAATTCATTAAAAAAGAACAGCATCTATTTGAAATCTTTTCTAGTGAAATCTTTACTCTAACTCTTAATGTATCCTTGCTGAACAAAAGTACTGATCCCTGAAAAAAAAAAAAAAAACATACTGATGCCAAGCATTTGGATGGTACTGTACAATGACTAGATAAGCACTTTTTTTTTTACAGGAGAAATTAGGGCTGGGCGATATAGCTGAAAAATGTATCAACGATATAATGTTTCATATCATTCAGTATCGATAATTCACGAGTTCACACTTACATATAATAAACTGAGTAAAGGTTATGCGTATTTGGCGTGCTGTCCGGGGAGAGGGGTCCGAGCTCGGTTTTTTAGCCCGGACCCAGAGCGCTCCCCCCGAGTGCTCCTCCCCGTCCTGGGGTAGGAACGGGCTGAAGGTGAGGAGTCGGGGTGGTGGAGGGATGCTGAAAGACTAGAGATAATGAAGGTAAGGCTGCTTTGATTATTTATAGGGGTTCTCTCTTGTGCTGGTTGGATAGATGGTGTAATTACTGATGATGGACTGGCCGTGTTAATTATCTGCGCATGCTCCTCCTGAAATTTGTTAATAAAACATCACTTATTGACATTTTTTATAACCTTTTTTAAAACAAAAAGCAATAGATATCTAATTTCTAATGTTTTATATGCAGATTAAATAGGTCTTTATTGTATAGGTCTAATTGTCTCCCGAGGCCACAGGAGGTCGCTATGAGCAAAATAATGCAGTTCATTTAAATTGTCAATGCAAGGAAGTAACTCTATAAAAACGTGCATTACGTCTAAATTAACTCATAAAAATCAAATATAATTTTGTAAATTGCATAAACAATTATGTACAAAACAGCATCATGTATTTATGCATTGCTTAATCTAAAGAGTCGAAGCCACAGATTGCATTTAAAAACATATGAGACG